AATCTTGGATGGGTGACTTAGGCCTACAACATAAAATGTTATCTATTAACATGTACTACATGCTCATAAAAAAAAAAAAAAAGTTTTATGAAATGAGAAACCTCACATTTTACTCTTTAACTTATTTTTTCTTTAAAACAACAAAAACATAAATTATAAGCATTTTACCTGCTCCACAAACAGTTTTACATAGGCTGCCTTATCCAAGGTGTTGAGATTTTTAGAATAAACATGAGCTTGTTTTCAATATGCAAATTAAGATTACAAATTAATTAAGATTACAATATACAAATTAATAATGAGTTCTGATTAGTTGTCGATGTTTTATAGTGTTCATCAGGTGGAAAAATCGTTCTGAAAGTGATCCCAATGATTTTATCCCTCTGTATAGTTATAGTTGTGGTGTAAACATGACTACTCTCTTACATTTAGAACGATTTTTAGAACTTTATTGTTACAGTTATCGTTATTGTTCTCGGTGTGAGCGGGTCTTAACGCATAGCTGGAAAGACCTCTCAGCTAATCAGATTTCAGCACCAGAAGTAACTGTTGTATAAAATAAAATAAACATTAACTGCTATAAAATATATGTTTAAATATATATATATCTAAATTCTTCCAGGGCACCAATTCCATATAATCTGAAGAACTAAAATAACTAAAACTAAATAGACTTAAAGTTATAAATAAACAAATAAAAATGATGTAAAAATAAAAATGACAAAAACACAACAAAATGTCTAAAAAATGTAAAATAAAAACAGAACATATAAAAAAATATTATTCTAAATATTAACAAAGAGTAATCAAAGAATCTAGATCTGCTGAACGTCTGGAGCAAGACGGGTCAATATTGAACATCATGAATTAAACATATATAAACAGAGATGTTCATGGTGACGGTCTGAATTATCTGGAGAGTTTCTGCTTCTAGCTTTGGTTTTTTGGGCTATTTAAATAAGTGTTTTGTCCTGCTGTCACTCAGGGTGGTGATATCACCAACCAGGATGGGACGGGGGGAAAATCCATCTATGAAAAGATGTTTGAAGACGAGTGCTTCGAGGTGAGGCACACAGGGCCGGGGCTGCTGTCCATGGCCAACCGTGGCAGAGATACCAACAACTCACAGTTCTTCATCACCCTCAAGAAAGCAGAGCAGTTGGACTTCAAGCATGTGGCCTTCGGCTTCATCAAAGAGGGCATGGATGTGGTGAGGAGAATCGGAGAGCTGGGCGCTAAAGATGGGAAACCCACGAAAACTATCACCATCTCAGACTGTGGACAGATTAAGTGAACTATTCTATGCAAACAACTGTTCAACATGTTTGAGATTGTGTTCCCTGAACTCTTGCTTAAATCAGGACTTGTATATGCAGTGGTTTTATATTTGTCCTGTAAGTGTGTTAATAAATTGCACAGCACTAGTTGACAATGAAACTTATGCTTTGCAAAAAAAAAAAAGAAGAACAAACCGGTAACGCTTTAGATTAGAGCCCACAATTTACAGCACAACTTTTTTTTGTAACTGTACTGCACCTATACAGTACACTATAAAATGTGAATAAAATAATAATAGAATAAAATGTGAAGTTTGGGGAATAAGGGGGTAACAACCTGGAAAATTACAAATTATCTATACTGTAAGTATTTTGAAACTAAGGGGCTACCTATTGTAATATTACGTGGAATGTATGACCTACTATGCTAAACAGCGGTTTTATATTTGCAAGCGATTTAGCAAATGCATACAGTGTGTACCTTTTAATAGTACACATATAAAAAAAACACTGGGTTATTGTTTCAATCCAAAAGCTCGGTTGAGACTGTTGGATAAGGAAGCTGGCTTGATTTGACCCAATTTGGGTTGATAATAGTAATAAGTAACCCAACGGTACTGGGTTAGGAATGTGGAGGACTCGCTTGAGACGAGTCTATCGTGTTTGTGGTGCTCATGACAGGAATATGTGTGGAAAATAGAAGAAAACTAATCAAAGCGAAAAGGAGAGAGATTTTTGAAACTTGACTGGATTGTGTTTTTCTCACAACGTTGAGCGACGACTGATGAGCGGTAAAGCCCAGAACTGAACAGTCGAAATGGTGCTTGAGGACTGTGGATCAAAACAGTAAATCAAAGATGATAAAATCCTGTCAAATTGCTATAATACAGTTTATTCTATAAATCTATAATGACAAAAAAGTTATGCTGTTATTTCCGTTTACTTACGCTGTAAATTGCGGGCTGCAATCTAAAGCGTTACCGAAAAAACTTAAATTAATTACATTTTATTATTTCTTCACGTTTACAGGGGCTTAACTGAACAGAATGTAAATCTTTGAATACTTTCTTTGATAAATGTGTGTATTTGGTTGAAAGGTCACTTCACTACTATGAGGTCCCACACAAACTCAGCCATGTTGCTTGCAATTTTCAATCTCCTGAACATAAAATAAACATCTAAGTTAAGTGTGAAAAATGCTTCTGAATCAAATGAAATGAAGGTGCTTTATTTCTCCTTTTGTTTTGACAAATGTTTTATGACTTCACCTGCCCATCCAGTCCTGATTGTTATAGGGGTCACCGGATGCCCATTTTTCACAAGTTGATATGATTCTTTAGGGTCTTAATGAAAAGTCCTTTTTTTTTTTCTTTTTCTCAATGGTAGTGTAAAACAACACCCTTTTTACCAGAGCTCCAAAACAGCTACCCATTTTAGTGCATGTTCCTTTAAATGCTAATGAGCTCTGCTCACCCCGGCCCTCCATTCCGTTGGGTGACGAGCCGTTCTCATGAGACTGTTTACTTTAGCCACGGAACTTGCTAACTAGCACGTTATTAGAAAAGGCGATTTGCAAGTATTCATAAAAGAACCTTATACTCACTTCTTCTGTAGGTGAAGCTGAATCACGAATGATTGGCGCGAACATAGATGCATTTAGGCAGATCGGGGGGAACATTCCCTTCAGAAACAAATGTAATCCACTGCGTCTTAAAGGGATAGTTCACCCAAAAATGAAAATTCTGTCATTAATTACTCAGCCTCATGTCGTTCCAAACCCGTAAGACCTTCGTTCATCTTCGGAACACAAATTAAGATATTTTTTTTTCAAATGTAATCCACTGCGTCTTAAAGGGATAGTTCACCCAAAAATGAAAATTCTGTCATTAATTACTCAGCCTCATGTCGTTCCAAACCCGTAAGACCTTCGTTCATCTTCGGAACACAAATTAAGATATTTTTGATGAATTCTGATAGCTCTCTGACCCTCCCATAGACAGTAATGTAATTAACACGATCAAGGTCCAGAAACGTAGCAAGGAGAATATATAATCTAAGAAAATAATATATATATAATATAAGAAAATAATCCATGTGACAACGTATCCGTGTGACGCAGCTGACACAGAACAGCATACACTGTTTATGTTCAGTGGATATTCTCCAAAATGGCACCAGGGTGACGTGGAGGAGACTAACTGTTGAATAAAGTCGTTATTTTTGTTTTCTTTGCATACAAAAAGTATTCTTGTAGCTTTGTAAAATTACGTTTGAACCCCTGATGTCACATGGATTATTTTACCGATCTCCTTGCTACGTTTCTGTGCCTTGATCATGGTAATTACATTGCTGTCTACGGGAGGGTCTGAGAGCTCTCAGAATTCATCAAAAATATCTTAATCTGTGTTCCGAAGATGAATGGAGGTCTTACGGGTTTAGAATGACATGAGGGTGAGTAATTAATATTACTCACCCTCATGTCAGGAGGGCATGCTTTTGTGATGTGAGCGCACCGAAACTCCATCGGTGACACAAATGGAGAAAAAACCTTGGTAGAAACTCAGTCACTCAGGGCCAAACTCAGTTAAAGGGCCAGTTCTCCTCTGGCCAGATAAAACCAGCAGAGTGTGGATAAATTCCAGGCTGCAATACAAGTCAGATTGAGCGGAGGACTTGTCTGGTTCTTCTAGCCTTTGCTGAGGAATTGTACTGATGGCCAACAAGATCTTTGCAGGGAATCTGCCTCTCTAGTTGACATGGTCTCTGCTGACATTCAGGGCTGTAGAGGTGTCATCTCAAGGTGCCGATCCACTGTCTGGTCTGGATACAGGATAGGATCTGCTTGACCTAATTAATGCAGCCTAACAATCCTTTAACAGATTTGAATTATAGAAATATGATAGAGTGCTATGTTTATGGCAGGTTAAAGACTCTTTAATCTTGTCTTTTAATCAGGTCTTTAATCTTTATTTAAACTGACATCAAGTTTAAATCAAGTGTCTGCCTCCCAAACAACGCTAGGTAGATTGTTGCAGAGTTTGGGCGCTAAATAGGAAAAGGATCGACCACCTGCTGTTGTTTTTGATATTATAGGTATTATCAAATGGCCAGAGTTTTGAGATCGCAGCAGATGTGAAGGACTATAATGCAATAAGAGCATTATAGATATTGGTATTGAGGTATCAAGGAAGGAGATTTTAAAATGTTTACGATGTTCAGTGGGGAGCCAGTGCAGTGTTGACAGAACCAGACTAATATGGTCATGTTTCTAGTAAGAACTCTAGCTGCTGCATTTTGGACCAGCTGGAGTTTGTTTATTAAGCACACAGAGCAACCACCCATTAAAGGGATATTTCACCCAAAAATGAAAATTCTGTCATTAATTACACACCCTCATGTCATTCCAAACCCGTAAGACCTTCGATCATCTTCGAAACACAAATTAAGATATTTTTATGCATTCTGAGAGCTCTCTGACCCTCCCATAGACAGCAATGTAGCGTCTATGTGCGTGGTGCAGCTGACACAGAACAGCATACACTGTTTACGTTCAGTGGATATTCTCCAAAATGGTGCTAGGGTGACACGGAGGAGACAAATTCTTGAATAAAGTCGTTATTTTTGTTTTCTTTGCGTACAAAATGTATTCTCGTATCTTCGTAAAATTACGGTTGAACCCCTGATGTCACATGGATTATTTTACTGATCTCCTTGCTACGTTTCTGGACGTTGATCGTGTTAATTACATTGCTGTCTATGGGAGGGTCAGAGAGCTCTCAGAATGCATAAAAAAATATCTTCATTTTTGTTCTGAAGATGAACAGAGGTCTTATGGGTTTGGAACGACATGAGCGTGAGTAATTAATGACAGAATTAAAATTTTTGGGTGAACTATCCCTTTAAAGCATTACAATAATCTAACCTTGAGGTCATGAATTAACATTTCTGCATTAACGCATGAATTAACATGTCTGCCTTTCACATAGGTAATAATTTAGATATATTTTTAAGATGGAAAAAATGCGGTTTTACAAATGCTAGAAATGTGGCTTTCAAAGGAAATATGCTATCAAATAGCACACATAGGTTTCTAACTGATTACGAAAAATTTACTGAGCAGCCATCAGATGTTAGACAGTGTTCTAGGTTATTACATGCGGAGGTTTTAGGTTTGATAATTAACACCTCTGGTTATTTATTTATTTTTCTTCAGAATTTAGCAGTAGTCATCCTATTTTTTATATCAACTATGCATTCCATTAGTTTTGCAAATTGGTATGCTTTGTTGGGCTGCAAAGAAATATAAAGCTGATAGATCCCCTCAGCATAACTGTGCAAAACCGTGGAACCATATCAGCATAACTGTGAAAGCTAACACTATGTTTCCTGATGATATCTCCAAAGCGTAATGTGAAGTGTGAAAAGCAGCGGTCCTAGTACTGAGCCTTGTGGTATTCCATACTGCACTTGTGATCATTATGGTACCTCATCTTTCACTGCTACAAACTGATGATGGTCAGTTAAGTAAGATTTGAACCTTGCCAATGCAATTCCTCTAATGCCAACATAATTTTCTAGTCTATTCAAAAGAATGTTGTGGTTAATAGTGTCAAAGATACCATTTTTCTCCAAGAAGGAACATAGATGTGAGGTTACTGCCTTTTCTAGTATCTTTGACAGAAAGGGGAGGTTTGAGATTGGTCTGTAATTAACAAATTCTTTAGGATCAAGTTATGGTTTTTATTTTTAATTAGAGGCTTAATAACAGCCAGTTTGAATGTTTTTGGGACATATCCTAATGACAGTTTTGAATTAATAATATTCAGAAGAAGATCTATGACTTCTGAAAGCATCTCTTTTAGTAGCTTAGATGGTATGGGCAGAGCCGATCCTCCCTATACGCAAAATATGCAAGCTGCATAGGGCCCCCGAAACACCAGGGGGCCCCCTTGCTTTCAAAGATGTTTTAATTTTAGTTTCGTTTTTGAATTTGGCCAGCGGTTATGAAAACATGAATGATCATTTATTTTAATGCAGTGCGTTGTCGCCCTTTCTACGTAAAAATCAGTCAAATGATGTAATGTGAATGTCGTACAGTCTTGCTCAAGACTAAAAACATGAATTGAAAGCGTACCAAGCAGCGGAAGAGACATTAGGCTTGTTCGACTTTGATCGGCACTGCAGCTGCCTTACGATCACATGTGCCATCAAAGTACCGCAAGAGCAAAATGAGACCGACAGTGCTTAATTTGTAAATTGTGAGGTCCTGGAACAAAGCGGGGTAACGAATTCGGCATGTGATTAGAGGAGGTAGAGGTACGGA